AAGACAGCCTTAATCTCCCTGCAGGGCTCATCCCAAAGCCAGGCCTAAGGTTATCACCCCCCTGCTTCAAGCCTGCTGGCCTCACCAGGTATGTCCCCGAGCATCTCACGGATGCTGAATTCCAGGCCACCTCATCATGCAATGTCACGCAAGGTCTGAGGCAGGTCACGTGCCAAGTCCTGATTGCCACTCCCCGCGGCAGGCTACCTCGGCAGCCCTTCTGGGCTTCAGTTCTTCAAATGCTCTGCTCCCTGTCCCCACGGTGAGGATTATCACAGCACAGGACACAGCAGGAAGCACACAGATGCGTGTTATCTGTTTTGTTCAGCAGCAAGTGTCAGGTTAAGTGAGGAGAGCAAAGTAAAAAAAAAAGTAGCATTTAGTGGTGTGGGTTTCTCCATTCTAGTGATGGCCGTGAGTCCTGCAATGCTGGGTCTCAGCTCAGCTAGTGGTGGCAGCCAGGGTCACAAAGTGGGCTCCTCTGCTCCTGGGGGGGCCCTCACATGGCCGCTGACATGTCCACTCTGCCACTTCCAGGGCTGAGAAGGCAGCTGTCCTCCGGCTCCCGTCTTCTGGGGGTGGGGGACCGGAGTCCACCTTTCTTGTGACCATGGTCTTGGGCCTCTAGACTCTGTTCCCCAAGCCCAGAGGGTGTGGGGTAGGGGACACACGGGTGATGAGACATCCTGGTATTACTGGGTTTGGGGTTCCTCAGTCCATATGGCCAGGAAAGATTCCAAAGCCAGTCTTTAACAGGAACAAAAGTTCAAAGAGAATGAAGGGAGACCTGCGGAGAGGTCCTGGGAGGGCAGAGTTCAGGGAAGTTTGGGGGGGGGGGTGCTGTTGGCTTAAGTGTAGCACAATGAGTGCTCGTCCCCCCCTTCTTGGGGCCCACTGTGCAGGCCTACCAGGGTCCTGGTTTATCAGTCCAGGCAGCACTTTCTGACTGGTTCTCCTCCTGTGCCCCTGGGGTGTGGTCAGCCCAGCAGCAGGTTGGGGCCAGGTCTTCAGTCTCCCTTCTGCGGCTTCAAGCTTTCCTGGGGTTTTATCAATCTGCCTCTAGGTTAGGGTGGGGGGCTGCTCTCTCTCCCCCTGGGCATTTACTGGCTCTCCTCAGGCTTTACTGGCCCTTGGAAACCTTTCCTGGGGTCCCGGGACAGAGGCTCAACTAGATTTCCCCCAGGTGTCGCCCTCCCTGCCCCGGTGTCTACCCCTGTGGGGGGGTGGGGCACACACAGAGGTGTTCTGGGAAGCATCTGAGTCTGAAGGGTGTGTGGGGGGTGCAGAGACGGGCAGTCACTCCTCCTGGGCACTGACAGGTGACTGGAAGGCAACCCTGGTCCAGGACAACAAAGTCCGGAAGGGCAGCAGGTGTCCAGAAGTGACGTGCAGGGCTTGTCCGGAAGTGATGTAATGCGTGTGCGGAAACGTCAATGTTGGTCCCTGAGGCAAATAATCGCTCCTTGTTTTCTTTCTTCCTAGAAGCAATCAGACGCCACTTTCTCAAGCCAGGGTACATGTTCTGTACAGATGTCGCTTTCTCTTCCTCACACTGTGCTACAAAGCTCCACCTCCCCACAGTTCCATCAGCTGTCAGGATTCGGCCTCGCCCGTCTAACATGAAATGTGTTAAGGAAATTTGTGGCTAGTTAATCGGCCGCCACTTTCTCACCCCTTATGAACATAAAGAAACAGCTTGCAATGTTTCTAAATAATATAAGATTATAAAACACAGCTTGCACAAAAAGCAATTTGAACAGCTTTCTTCACATGAAAAGATAATACCAAAACTTAATGAGAATGGACTTTAAGATTAAGGGAAAATGGGAGCTTTGAACTTACATTAATCAATCTTACTAAGTAAGATTAATTTGCATAGGTAAAAAAGGTCAGTGGAAATCATTTATTCTTTCGTTGGATTGTATTTTAGCATTGTGCGCTATCTCAGTAAATGGCTGTGTCCTCAAAATGCCCCCAAGAGGCTTGTGCCTGCATAATTATATATTTTATTGCTGTCTTTTGTGTAATACATATTTATACATTTAAGCTTCTTTGAAAAATGTGAGCATTTCTGGCTTTATGGGTATTCAATAGATAGCTGCTATTATGATGATGGATGATGAAGAAAAAAAAGGGAAAGATCGTGCAAAGTGCAATTTTGACTTTTGAGCTTCAGGGGGGAGGTTGTTGGTTGTCAATAATGTTTGTCAAATCAACGACTTCCTGGGGAAGGCGAGTTGGTAATTAATCTTGATGCTAGAAGCTGCCCTTGTGGGCACAAGAAGTTCACCAAGCACCACAGCCTCGTCCTGGCTTGGGTTTCACACGGGAGACACAACTAAGTACCATTTCTTGCTATCAAGAATATCTGTCCAGAAATGCTCACCGGTAAACAGGCATGTGGAGAAAATGTTTGTCCTTTTGTTTCTTGACAGCTGGGCTCACATGACCTAAGTCTCTCTCTCTCTCCCCCTGGACTGTGAACTAGTGGCAATAACAGGTAGCTTTGATGTGCCAGGCAGTAAGCTAAACATTTCACATCATTATTCTCATGTCCAAAAGCCCTGACCGATGAAGAAGCTAAGGAACAGAGAGGTTAAGGAACGTGCCCAAAGTCACACAGCTAGGAAGTGTGGGCTTGGGGCGTAGAGGCCGGGAGCTGACGGCTATAAGGGAGCATAAAAAGCCTCAGGTCAACATCCCGCCTTCAGGTGAACACTGCGATGTGTTCAAATGGTCATGAAATAACCCGGGTTCTGAAGTGTGTGGACGTAACAGCTGGCTGGACAGCTGCCACTGTCCTGGGCTTGTGTGCCCACCCCTTGCGTCTGTTAGCAGAGCCTTGCCGAAATGCCTCAGCTTGCAGCTTCTGCTTCTTTCGCACAAGTTACTTACACAGGAACCAGAGATGTTCTCTACTCACATCGGATTGTGGACTGAGAGTGAGGTCAGACACCCAGATTGGGAGTTTTGAGTTAGCTCAAATAGTCTCAACCCCCTACATTATTATATAAAAAACACAAGTAAATTCGCATGAATAAAGCCAATGTGTATATCATAAAAATTTCATTTGCGAGAACTGCTTGAGTCCCCACCCACATTCCTTCCTCCCTGACCATTCAGAGTGTGACTTCCTGCGTCGTGTGGGGTCTTCAGGCCTGTCACATGGTCATGGCTGACCACCGACCCTTATTCATTCCAAGGGAATTTCCCTTCTGTGGAAGGCAGTGGTGGGAAATGTGAGGTGAGCCAGCAACCCTGCCCCACAGAACACTCAGCGAAGAGAGGTCCGAGGAGGGCAGAAGGCGTGGGGAGCCCTTGGGAGGCCAGAGACGCGGCATGCGGCAGCTGGAGGGCCGTGCAGAGAGCGAGGCTGGATTCAGATCCACTTCGCTAGTGCACTGCAGCCAGCAGTCGCTTCTGGACTGGATGTGGGTATGACAGGAGGGAGCATTTCAAGGTGAGCGGGCAGGATTGTCTGGCTGGATTAGGTGGATAGATACAAGCTCAGATTTTGAGGAAGTCAAGAGATCCGTTTTGGATAGTTTTTAAAAAATTATTATTTTTTACTTATCTTTGACATCATTGGGTAATCCCTGTAAAATTCCCACCACCAATTCACCGTGCACCATCACCAAAGCATCTTGTGTTCTTCTCCCCCCATTTGGGTCCCTCTCCCTCCCCTCCCTCGCAGAATGTCTCTGATTTATGGTTGCCGTCTGATTTTGTTTTTATTATTTTTATTATTGCTATTTTTACCTGATCCCTTACTTGGTTTCCCTTTATTCTTCCTATAAGTGAAACCATCTGATATTTTTCTTTTTCCTTCTGGCTTATTTCACTGAGCATGACCCCCTTCTAACTCCATTCATGTTGCTGCAAATGACCCGAGCTTATCATTTTTACTTACTGAGTAGTATTCCTTTGTGTGTATATGTATCGCATCTTCTTGATCCAACCATCTATTTTGGGACATTTGGGTTGTTTCTATACATTACCTATGGTAAATAGTGCTGAAATAAACACAAGTGTGTAGGTGTATTTTTGAATTAAGTTTATATATATATATTTAAGCTGAAGAGCCCACTGGTCCAAGGAGCTGTTGACAGGGAACTCTGAATATCACACAAGTCTGAGTGGAGTCACAGAAGTGGTAGTATCAGAATCCACGGCTCTTAAAAGTTGAGTCCTGGAGGGAATGTGTCTGCGGGATTGTGGAGCAATTCGGCTGGGACAGAGGGAGAAGCTACGTCTCAGGGTGGAGGGAAGAGAGCTCTTCTGAAGTCAGGCGCCCTTTCTCCTGACCAGAACAGATGGCGATATGCCCAGGAGCTTCCACAGAGCGATAACTGAGCACTTACTGTGCGCCTCAGGATGGGCAGGCAAGAAGGGGTGGGGAGTTCCTGGTCTCTGCCAAACGTGTTCCCCTGTGGGTCCAGCAGGCAACTGAGGTCACCTAAAAAAAGGAGGTGATCTTTCTATTCCTAGAAAGTCAGATGTGGCAGGGAGAGTGAGTTCCAAGTTATAATAAGAAATCAGTTAGTAGGAGCTAAAAAAGAAGTGTGTGCCCCTACAAGGGCAGGCAAGTCATGGATCATTTGAAACAGATAATCTGTTTTTTAACCTGATATTAACTAGTGTTGCTGATATAATGGTGCTAAGATATTAATACTTTAAGCTCCTCGATTGATATCAATGAATGTCACTGACAGAATGAACATCCGAAGAGGACCATAAACACTTGTGTGTGTGTGTATGTGTGTGTGTGTGCTGTCATTCAAATTTATGAGACTTGCGGTATGCAGCTTAATTCAGCTCACGTTAGGCAATGGTGTATTTCTTGCTGTACTTCATTGCTCATTTGTATTCTTCTTAGAGGCTCTGTCTCTAATTTTCCAGTCTTTTGCAAGCCCCTGTGCCTATATATGTCTGTGTTATAAGGTCCTACTTACAATTCACTCTCTTACACACATATGCACTTATAAAATCTTCCTCCTTAGGGTCTCCCAGGACCTCCTGGGCCACAAGGTCCAATCGGACTCCTGGGAGGTCCAGGACCCATCGGGATCCCAGGAAAGAAAGGACTGATAGGTGACAGCGGCCCTCCAGGAGCAGCGGGGGACAAAGGAGACCAGGTAAACCTCTTAGGAAAGACTCGTCTCAGCCTCTCACCGGATTTTTTATAATCACAAATACTTGACCTTTAAGTGACATCTGAACTCCCCTCCGAGCATCAGTTTTCTCCTTTCCAGAAGAGTGTGCCTTCTTTTCTGTGTACTTAGCGAGGGGTCCGACACTGTCACAGCTTAAAAGAAAAATCACTTGATGCTGTAGTTTTGTATTGAGTTTTTCTTTTTCTGTTCAATAATATAGCTTAGTGGTCATTCTATAACAACTCATGTAATTTGAATTTACTCCTGTAAAAGTGTTACATCACATGTCACCGTGTGGATAAACACAACTTACTCCCCATTGAAGAGAATTTGAGCTTCTCCCCCTGCTTTGCGGAGGTCAAATGTGGGAACAAAGTCCTGTAAATTACTGGAGTTTACATTGAAGAGTTTGCTTCTCCAGGACAGAAATAGCCCAGGAATTTCAAGTATGAATATTTTCTGTGAATTGAAACTGCCAAGTTTGCTTCCGAGGTACACAAACAAAGTGCAAAAAGGCAGATTCGTAAACCTTCACGGTTAAGAGCATCAATGTAAAAATAGGTCACAGTCATTGTGAAGTGTTTTTAATTTTTCAATTTTTTGTTTTCTGGGATTTCAGGGTCCAACAGGTGTTCCTGGATTTCCAGGTTTGGATGGCATGCCTGTAAGTATCCTGAGGTTTCCTCCAATCTTTTCAAGAATGAAGCGACATTCCAAACCCAGAAAACATCATAACCCTCAGTATCAAACACACATGCACACACACACATCAAGCTCTTCTCACATGCTCACTTTAGGGCAGAGAAGGGGGCTTACCTTTATCATGTACAATAGCTCTAACATCAAGGCATTTTACTTGAATAACAAGGTTGTCAAGGAGGTTACAGAAAATCCTCTCAACAAGTGAGTTGTAAATAAATGTGTGAAAAAATTCATTTGTCACTAGGTCCCAGCACTGGAAATAGGCTTGACTTATTTCATACCAGAAAACCAAGTGAAGATAAAAGAGGAATTTAAGGGCTTTCCAATGCATCAGAGTCTTTGAAAGGCTTCAAGGAAAGTGTCCATATCTCCCAAGTACTCCAAACAAAACTCATTTAAATTGGGTTATACGGAAATTTGCTTATTTTTTCCCATGCAACATTGCTCATGTGGGGAAGGAGGTGTCATGAAATTAAACAAGTAGAGGATGGGTCAGGGAACTTAGGGGCTCATGGAGGAGGGGCAGATGGGATTGAGGGTGGGGGCTTGGGGAGAGAAAGCAAAGGTGACAAAATCCTCTGTTGACCCCTAAAAAAATGGACAGAATCAATCTCTTCTCCCCCAGCTACTTGATACAGTCACAGTATAAATTTTGATTGTTTTTTGCAGCATTAGGAATCTGGAACAGAATTTACTACTGATGCTAACAGTTCTGTTTTCATACAAAGGTTTTGCTTTCCGTGACACGTGCTCACGCAGTCATTGGCTTCATGTTCTATTCATTCTTTACCATTTCATCCCGGGGGTGGGGGACAGAACAGCAAACAAGGAAACCCGTGGGTCTCTGCTGTCCTTGCCCCACCACCCCGCCGGGTGCCTCTGACTCTTCCATAAACGCCTCGGTATTTTGTTTCTTGCAGGGGCACCCTGGGCCCCCAGGATCCAGAGGGAAACCTGGACGGGACGGCTACAATGGCTCAAGAGGGGACCCCGGCTTTCCCGGAAGAGGAGGAACTCCCGGCCCAGAAGGCCCCCCAGTAAGACACCTAGAACTCACCCCAGGGAGAATCTTAGGTGAAATGTCCTGCAGAGGGAACAGGTTCATCTTGAAGAAGCAGTTGGGGCCTGTGTGACTTACATGGTGAACAGGGGTGATGGGGTGAGGACAGAGGCAGCTGACCTGGGACGTGAGGGGCCCTGGGGCTGTGGAGGAGGCCGAGGGGAGGCCGGGAAGAGGCCGAGGGGAGGCCGGGAAGAGGCCGGGAGGAGGCTGCTTTTATTCCACGCCCTGAAAGGCTTTCTGGAAGGAGGCGGTAGGTCCTGACTGGCGCTCTACTGAGAGGCTCCTGGCTGCTTTAGCTTCTCCCATGGGAGCAAAGTCAGGCGATCTTCTGGAACAGTTGAGCTTGGAAAGCAATGGGTCCTTTATAGGAGCTTCACATATGAAAATAATAGGACCTTAATGTGACAATCAATTTCAAATATATTAACATGTTAATTAAACAGGAAAACTTGGGAGCGGGAAGAACACACTGAGGCATTTCATTCAATTTTTAAATACCCTGATGAAACCTGCTGCTCACATAAAGAGCTTCCAAAAGGAACATGCTGTTTTCCCAGAAGTTCATTTTACAAGGATGCCCAGATTCTAGTTTGAATACAAATTCTGAAATGGATAAAATCAACTTTTAAAAAATTCATTTCTAAGGAATAAAATAATTAAAAATTGTTTTCATATAAGAATGATACATATGAATTATATTGTAAGGAAAAATGCAATTTTCCTACTGAATAATTAGTAAATAGCTATTAATAAATTAATATTGATTGTATGTGTTGTATGTTATTTATAAAAGTGTATTATGCGTTTATATATATATATAGCAAATATTTTAATAAATACTCTGAGTTTACAAATTCCTTAGTATATCTTAACTGAATATCAAATAAACACATATGAGACCCACAGCATTAATAACAAGAAGAGAAGAAACAATCTCCACTAATGCAACATGACTATAATGTTCATTTTATCGGCGAGTAATACTTCACATCGAAAAGTAAATACTGGAATAACAATATGCTTTCACCCCCTCTTAATGAGTATTTTCTTACCAGGGCCTTCCAGGGGAAAATGGAGAAAAAGGAAATTCGGTGTTCATTGCGGGTGCTGTTAAAGGCATTCAGGTAGGCACTGTGATCCCGGGAGGCTTGCGCATTCTGTTTGCACACAGGTAGCCCCTGCGGGAAGCACACGGGCTGCATTGTGCCCAAGTGCACAGGCTTTACCATTACCTGGGGCCCTGGGACCACGTTTCTGCTTCTGGGAAGCCCCTTGGCTAACACTTCTCTGCTGTAATTGCTGGTACCTCCCAACCATCGCGAGGTTGCCGCAGATACCTTCATTTCAGGACTCTTGACCTTGGCCTGGTTGACATCTGGAGCCATATGACCAGGGGGTGACCTTTGCTTTGTAGAACACAGACCCTTGCCCTTGGCCTTAATGCATGCCATTAGCACCCTTCACCCTCCACCTCAACAGTCCCTCCCTACATGCCATTGGTCACCTGCAAAGAAAAATCACCCTCAGTTGGGAAGCGCCGATCTATTATTCTCTTAGTATGTTCATCCACTATAACAGACGTCGCCATAATGAATTGAACATCGGCACTCCTCGACAACTTTAGCACCTTCGTGTTTTTCACAGAGAATGGAAAAGATATGTCAATGCCCCCAAAACCTAAATGCAGACTTACGCTATAATCCAGCGCCCTGTCTCCCACTAATGACCCAAAGAAATTCAAGCAGGGCTCCAACAGATATTTGCACGCTCATTTTCACAGCTGCCTAGTAGCTATACTCAAAGTGGAAGGAAGCTGCCAAGGTGTTTGGTGACTGGGTGGGTGGGTAGGTATAAGCCAAAGGTAGAGATGACAATGTTCAGCCTTAAAGTAGGGAGGGAATGCACGCCAGCACCGTGGGGATGAGCCTCGAGATCATGTAAGTGGGAGGAGCCAGTCAGAAAAGCACAAGTGAGGTGAACCCATTTGCATGGGGCTCCTGGCGTTAGGTACATAGACAGAAGGTGAGTGCCAGGGGCTGGGGAGGGAGGGGACTCGTGTTTACGGGGGGCAGAGTTCCCTGGGGGAAGATGAAGAATGTTGCTGGAGCTGGGAGGTGGTGATGGCCGCACGGGGATGTGCCCTGGGCCACAGAGCCGCAGCGCACGGCAAAGTGACTCACCTGGTACAACAGATGGTAAGTGTACTTTGCACTATGTTTTGCATTTTTCAAAGAAAGCGTGCTGTCATGGGGCTGTGCACCCTTTGATTCTCTGCAATGGAGATTTTTAGACCAGAGGCACTGTCTTCCCAGGGGGGTGGGGGCCCCACACGGGTTCCCAGCACATCCTGGCTAAGGTGAGGGCATGCGGAGAGGCGAGGTGAGGTCTGGCCAGGAGAACAGAGACGGTTAAACTGATGCTGTGGACCTTCAGCCTGAGAACTGGAACGTTTGAAGCCGAAGAATGAAACTGCATCTCAGTTCTGTTGTTGGCTCCACTCCAGCAACCTGTCTCTGGTTTCAGCTGCAAAGTAGAATTCAGGGCTTAATGATGGAGAAAAAGTCTCTTCGATGGAGCTCTGCTACCGTTGGGACCCCACTCTGAAAACTGGAACTGGGCCCAAATAGTTCCCGTGTGTCTGCCCACGTTGACGCTGTGTGCACGTGTTTAGGGACAAGTTGTAACGGTGTCACTGTTGCAGGGGGACACAGGCGACCCCGGACCTCCGGGCTTTGCGGTGAGTCTCCCCTGTGCTTGGTTTTGGCCTTCGCAGCAGTGGCCCACACTGGCGTGAAGGCTGACAGCACCAACTACATAGTTCAGAGTCCACACAAAGTGAAATTGAGGGTTTTGGTTCAAAAATCCATTGAGAATTTCATGATGGTGAGAGCAGACGACTGAATCGGCGTGAGGCCCTGTGTGGAGGGACCAGGTGGCCTCTCCGGGTCTCACTGGCTGTTATTCTCTTTTAATTAATGGTCATTTCACATGGTTCAGGTCTATACAGTTGCTTAATACTTAAGATAAGTCTGCTTAGAAACTGAATGAACTGTTATGTGTAGTGGAAATGAGTTGGCCAGCTAAGTCATGCATGCATGTTATGAGCATCTCCCCCTTACCTCCCTAAAATGTGTAAGCCCATGACCATATTAGTTTTCCAATTGATCAATGTTCATGAGATTAAAATCGAAAGCAATTGTGTCTCCCAGTGCTCTGCCATCCTTTTACTTGGTAACCTCTGGTGGCCGACAGGGCTACTCACCGTGTTAGAATGGCTTAGAGCTCCCCAAGCCCACTGAATCAATGAGATGCCATGATATTGCTGTGAAAAAAAATTGAATTTAGCATTTAACAGGAAAGAATTTTCATGGAAGAAGATGCAAAAGTTCTGGAGCTGGGAGGTGGTGGTAATGACCCAATAAAGCTAATGCACTTAGTACCACAGAACTGAAGTACCCTCTAAAACGGTTAACGTGGTCAATTTTGTCATCTATATCTTGCCACATATGATAGCCAATCTCATCATGTGCTCACGAAATCATTTGATCAGGACAGGATCAGCACAAGAGAATAGAGAGCCTCTCTCCAAGCTTCCAGAATGGGCCAGAATATTTGCCACAATGATTATGTTGTAGAAAATTGTTAATGGTTGAAACATCTTGATTTTGAATTGAGGACGTTTCTATTCATGGTCATCTTATAGGGGATGTCTAAAAATATATATTCAGGACTATAAATATATTGATGTTTTAATATAACTAATGCTTTATTAGTATCACTCTTTTGAAATCAATTTGATGTACATCAAAATTGCCACACATGGGGTGTAGGAGTCATTAGTGGCATGTTCTCGGCTTTTGCTACTGGAAGATTTACTTGTCAATAAGTAGTCTGATCTCTGGGACTTGCTCTCACCCCAAGAAGTCAGTCATACTCACCAGAGTGTACCCCTTAGGGTCCACCTGGTAGCAGATGTTTTCTGTGCAATTCTGCTTGAGGTCTTTAGTCCCCTGGGCTGACACATGAGCTGATGACAGCTTGGGTAAGGAAGATGCTGATTTTTCTCATGTTTAGGGTCCTACAGGTGCAAGAGGACCAGTGGGCTCGATGGGTTACCCAGGAGAGCCAGGGCCCCCTGTAAGTACAGCCTTGCTGAGTTTTGTTCCTCTAAAAGCCCAGATCTGATTAGTAAATAAAGCAAAAAAGGCAAATTGCAGCCTTGGGTCAGGTAGAGGTGGGTTCTTTGCAGGATTATAAATGTATGAGTTGGCACAAACCCACTACTCTGATGGAGCCCCTGGGGTCACCATTCCACAGATGAGGCAGAAAGGGGTGGTAGACCACCCCCCATTCATGTTAGAAATCCGTGGGGAGTAGTTTAAAATCAAGGGTTTCCTGTGAGGAATCTGGGGTACCAACACAGACACATTCTGATTTCCATGACTGATTGTTATTTGTGCATGTTTTTGCCTCTGATGCAGGGTCCCCCAGGTCACCCCGGCAGCCCTGGTGTGAAGGTAGGTACTGTGAGTCACTTACCAACGGAGCCCAGAGCTGTGCCAGGAATAAGTGACCAGTGATTTTTGTCAGAGTCATGTCTTCTTATTAGATTTCCAAAAATATTTAATAAATAAATTTCAGCAAATTGCTTGCCCAAAAGTCTTTCTTGCTTTTATTTACTACTTTGATACTCCAAGCAGTTAGTTCTCTCTCCCTTTTTTAAGAGTTATTTATTTATGCATACAGCCCTGGGGTACAGGCCAGAGGTGCAGGGGCGGTGAGAGGATTCACCAGAGGCAGAGCGGGGATCAGAACAGGTCAATCAACGTAGGGGAGCAGCGGACAGGTCAGGAGAGGTCTGCCAAGCCATGTGGTCACCTCCAGGGCAGGTGGGGATCGAACTCATGCGGAAGTGGCTTAAGCTTCTTAGTGCTGTGCTTTAACCCACTGCGCCACCAGGGAGGGCCTAGTTCTTTTTATTTAAAAGATATATTTATTTATGCATACAAGAACTGAGGTATAAGTCAGAGGTGGGGGGGGTGAAAGGGTTTACCGGAGACAGTAGGGGAGTAGAACAGGTGGGAAATATACTGCTGAGGGGAGCAGTGGGGAGACAGGATGGGTCTGCCGACGCACGTGGGTCAGCTCCCTGGTGGGGGATTGACGCCATGCTGCAGTGCATGTGGAGAGCGTCATAGTGCTGAGACTTAACCTTTGCACCAGCAGGGAGCCCTAAGAATTAGTTCTTTAAATTTCCTTTTCCAGGGTAACTCCGGCGTGGGAATAAAGGGGCAAGCGGGAGACCCGGTAAGAACCCCCTGTGCACGGGAGCCATGAGGTGCCTGCCTTGAGGAGACTGTTCTGATTATCACCTAAATAGTGTTCATTTTCTAGCCTCTGCTCAATTTTATGGCTGAGAATTTTCTTTTGCTCAATTATCAAGGCACCATTACCCTTGACTGTAAAATGCAGTTGTGATAAAACTGAACACTGAAGGCCAGTTAATTTGTAGGACACATTTCACGCCAGCAGAAAGATGGCACATTGCTGAAGATAGATCAGACCCAGAGTAACTATTTGTTTAATTACTGATTTGTTTAGCTTCATTTCAGAAATTTCATCAGAATCATTAACTCCCTATAAATAAATAGACTCACAATCAAGTGAAAATATAAACAATGAGCCAGATACTTGTAACAACACATGATCTCCACTCCCTCCTTCCCAACACACCTCCCGTCATCAGCCCCTCCTCCCCTCCCCTGCCCGCCTCATGCTCTGCAGTCTTTCTGCCTAAGCATGAGACGTAGCAAGGATGAGCTTTAGGAAAATGTCTAAAATGGCTGTGCCTTCAGACACACTCTGAATGTTGAAGCACCGTGAATGGCTTCTCGACTGCAGGCAAATAGCCAATAAACATCTAGAGCCACGTGAGGCTGCGGGCCTGGCCTGGGGCTTTAGCGGGGCAGGCCTGGTGCCTGGGCTGAGTCCAGCCTGCTTGGGAAAGTGACAGCAGAGCTGAGGAGCAGCAAGACAGCACCGCCCGTAGTAATTGGGAAGAGTTCCTGATGAAGGGAGGTACCTCTACAGAGGGTTGCCCAGAAAGCGCAGGTCACCAAGTACGCTCACCTTGGTAACACACAATAGAAGGACACAAGAAACAGTAGGAGAAGGTTTGTAGGTGTATGGGGGCCCATGCAGGATGGGGAGCAGCACCCTGCCCCCACCACTAGGAGCCTTTCTTCCATTTGTCATGGTTCAAGGCGTCCAGAACATGCCAAAGGTCTTGGGGGGAAGGGCATTCCAGGGCCCCAACCCATCCTTGAGGGCCACTACCTTACACAAATGACTAACAGAAAGTAGACTCAATGGTTTTCAAACCTGGGAGTCATGAACCCCGGGGGATGTGTATGTCACAGTCTCAGAAGCCCACGACTCCCAGTTTGAGAAACAGCGTTGGGAGAATAGCAGGAATTACCTGTTCTGTGGCCTCAGCGCCAACCAGATGTGGTGGCAAAATCAGGCCACAAAAGATCACAGAAAAATGTGTCTATGTCTTGGCCATTCAGGTTACCTGAAATCTACTTAAGTTCACCCTGTTAGACTGGCAAAATCCAGTCAAATTGGGAACAAAATCCTAATTTGAAATGCTGAGGCAGGACTCTGAGGTGTGGGTGCACTGAGGTGCTCGGTACTCACCCTGTCCAGGTGCTGTGATCCTGCAGTGTTTCTATCGCGGTCTTCACGCTTGGTCTTCTTGGTCCTTTTGGCTAAAATGAGCATAAGGTATTTTACAATGCAGCAAACTTGTAATGTGACCGACATTTTGAAGCCACTCCTTGCTGGTCAGTCTGCATGAGTTTAGTGCAGGTTTACTCCAGCTGCAGAACAGGCAGGATGATCTTTGCAGATGCACGTTACGGGCTTATTTGGGTCCAGTTGGTGCATTTGTTCAGTTGCTTGCTTGCACATTGCTTATTGCAGCGGCTACCCATTGCAGTGGTAGGGGCAGGGCCACATTTTACACTGATTTTTACAATCAGTCTGCATTACTTATGCAAAACCACAGATACTTCAAATTAGCATGATTTTCATTTCAAATCCATGGCACACTGGACCGTTACCATCACATCACAACAGGTAAGTGAAAGTCTTGTTTGCTTCAAATTTTATTTCAATATGAAGTTAATATGGACTCTGCTATCTTGATTTCTTTTGGAAGGGTGAGGTTGGCCGACAGGGCTTTCCTGGACCTATGCTACTGGTGCATCCCTTTGATTTACATTTCCTTAAAGGAGAAAAGGTGAGCCCCAAATCCGCGTGTGACTTGGCAAAGCAGGCATTGCCAGCATTTTTTTTTT